GACGTCAGACAGGGCAAGATATGACAAAATAATCATTTATAAATTATCAAGCGTTCATGAGGGAGGGGGGAGCCGGGAGGGAGGAGAAAAATGAGGAGCTGATGCCAAGGGCTTAGGTGGAGAGCAAATGTTTTGAGAATGATGAGGGCAATGAATGTACAAATGTGCTTTACACATGGATGTATGTATGGATTGTGATAAGAGTTGTATGAGCCCCTAATAAAGTGATTAAAAAAAAAAAGACAGTTCCTCGTGTTGCAGTGACCCCCTAACCATAAATTTCCGCTGCAACTTCATCGCTGTCATTTTGCTACTGTGATGAATCGGACGACCCCTGTCGTTCGACCCCCGTGGAGTAACGACCCACAGGTTGAGAACCGCTCTAGGTCTTGGTGAGCGGGAGTTGCGCTGAGGCAGGGAATTTGTTTTTTTGTTTTTGAGTGTGTCTCTTTAGAAATGAGGGAGTCAGGAGGAATCCAGCCCACAGAGCTTCCAAGTTTCTCAGTTTTAAAACTTGACCACTACCAAACTTTCTTTGGATTCTTCTTTCACTAACAGCAAATGAACACGAGCAGGGATGGTGGTGGTGGTGTGGGCAGCATTTACAAAACTGTCCCCCCCACCCCTCCCATGTTTCTAATAAAAGACACCAGGACAGCAACACATACACGCACACCAAAAAAGCGCCTGCATCATTTGACTCAATTAAAAAAAAAAAATCGTAGCATCTCAATCGACACCTCAGAACACTCGCCGTGGCGCAAACCCAATTGTGATGGTGGCCTGGCACTTTCCCAAGGGCCACGCGGTCTTTGCGTCTCCGTTAACACGGCTGCTCTCAAAGCTACACAGTGTATGATCACTTTGCATTACCCAGCGGGAGGAGAGGAAACGCCCCAGGAGGCGCAGAACCATGGGTAAGAGAGCTGGTTTCCAAACAGGCAGGAAGAAAGGCAGGCATCCGCTAAGGGACGGGGTTCCTGAGACGTCTTGAGAAAGCTCACAAGAAGGGTTTTCCTGGCTGACTCAGGAGGACCCCAGGGGACACCAGGTTGACGCCGCAGCCTTCATCCCCATCACCCCCGCCCCACCCCACTCACCCAGGAACTGCTTGTTGAGGAGGAGGGAGCCGGAGCCCCCCCAGTGCTTGTCCACAAGCTCCAGGAGCTGTCTGAGGACAGTGGCCACATGGGAGGTTCTGGCAGAGGCCGGGGGACTGTGGTTTCCTGGTAAACCATGCAAACTGCCCAGGTCACTAGAGAGAGGCTCAAGAAAACAAAACACAAAAAACAACCAATGTCATTTTTACACAAGACGACAAGCAGGAACCAGAAAATGGAAAGCATTAACCTTTTGTTAACAAAAAAAAGATCTTTTTACATTTCCATTTGGCATTGAATAGCATGTTATTTACCGCCTAAGCGAATGCCATGATCATGACATACAGGTCACATCTTCTATCACAGTTTTCTGTCAGGATTTTGAGAGGAAAACCCAAAGCATGTTTTTTGACACTTAAGTACACCCGTGATCCAATCGATGCTGCCACATGACCTAGGAAGACGAAGCTGCAGAGCATTTTGTTACATATGTTGGGTAGGCATCGGACTGCTAACTGCCAGGCTGGTGGTTTGAATCCACCAGCTGCTCCTTGGGAGAGAGCTAAGGCTGCCTGCTCCCATGACGATTTACAACTTGGTCAAGGAGTTCAAGAAGAAAGAAAATGTTTGAAACTGACTGTGGTAACAATTGTACAACACTGATTAATGTGATGGAACTATGGAATATTATATCTGTAAGAGCTCCCAATAAGTGATTTAAAAAAAAATTATGTTAACAGATCTGGAACCCTTCTGTCAGGTCGCTGTGAATCGGAATCTGGACTTCGTGGGAGTCAGGTTTTGGGACATGTCATAAAAATAAAAATAAGGGGTGACAATAAAAATTGCAAGCCAAAAAACTTTACATTTGCTATATTAAAACATGATACACATAAAGGTCCTATAATGTTTAAAGTGTTATGGTTGGACTCAGTACTGAGATACTTTCATTCCACGAAATCATATATAAATATATTCATGTTGAATGAATAAAAGACCAATGTGAGTTTCACTGTACTTGTCTGTCAATCTTGTCACGGACACCCACAAAGGAGCCATAAAGAACGGCCAAATGATTTCTCTATCAACGATTTTTAAGACATGGAAAATTAGTTAGCTAGTGTTCTCTGCCTTTCTTCACCCCTTCTGAACTGCCCTTATATGTTCTGACTTACCCCTTTCTAGAAACGGAAAACTATCTTTCTGCTATAGTTACATTCAAGCAGTTCTTCTAAAAGCCCTCATCATAGAGAAAAATATGTCTAAAAGGAATGCGTTTATAAAGATAGTCCAGAAAGGGGCATTTTTAGAATTTTGTTAATTTAACCAAAGATGGGATGTGAAATAAATATGCACACGTTTCCTAGCCCTCGGCTTAGTAACAAAGTCTCTCAAACACCCTAAGCATTGCTCTGCTTTCATCTCAAATACATGAGCGCACGAGTGCCCTGGTCTGATAAACTAGGTACCCGGAACTGGAATTCGGTGGTGGGTGGTGGGTGGGGTGGGGGCAGAGGGGAGAAAGAGACCAAAAAACTGTAGAAGAATTACAGGACTGCCCCCACCCCCCCTTTGGGCACACAACAATGAGAAAGACTCCCAGCTTCTGCCACACCTTTAACAACCTCACACAACAAAAAAATGTAAAGAAAAAACACAAATGCACCTACACACAAAAGCAATAAGCTTATCTTCTTGTGATCGAGAAGTAATTGGAAATACCGTATATACTCGAGTATAAGCCAGGTCTTTCAGCACATTTTTAGTGCAATTTTTGTGGTAAAATTAGATGCCTCGGCTGTTATTCGGGTGGGCTTATACTCGAGTAGATACGGTAGTTGTTTTGGACCAGATAGATCCCTTGCTTCCTTGTAGGGCAGAGTGAGTCCAATAACAAGTGATTTATATGGCAAAGGATCATGGGAAGCCCAAGGGAAGAGGCCCTGACAGCCACGGTTTCTTTTTAAAAATTTTTTTTTAGCTGCGGTTTCTACAACTAAAGAGAAGATGATTTTGTGATTAAAGCTGGATCTGCAGAGTCATGAACATTAAAATGGACAAGAGGGGAGGGGATCGTGGACAAATGTGCCCAGAGGCTAGGGCAAAAATAAGCAAGTACTTGATACTAATTAATGCAAATGCTTCATTGCCACCAATGACCTGTGACAATTCTCATTTGGTTTTTGGACCTACTGCTCCCAAGCCTTTTGATTTAGGAAGATAAGGTAGGCCATTCAAACACCACCACCCCTGCCCGTTAACACAGATTGTTAACTGAAAAGTTCTGTGGTTTTATTGGACAACGTTGATTACAGAGAATTGTCTGGCAGCTGAGGCAGCGATTCTCTATTGTGTGTTGATCCTCAGAATCACGCTCTACTAAAAGTCCTTTGGATAATCAAATTCGTCTTCTCACTGTCACTAATGCAGTTTTAGACAGAACAGCATGGCTTTTTTGGTCAAAAACTCTACAAACAAGCTCGTCATCTGTGGCAGAGGCAAATGGGTAAGCATGGTGGGAGTATAAACATCAGCGCTACAGTGATCAGTCTAGGGCCCCGGTGCCTCCTCCTGCATTCCTGCCCCTGGGTAAACACTTGTCTGGCACTCCTTATGACCAAAGTACTTCCCCGGCATGTTTATATTCTGGAAGTCGAACCGGACGCAATTCTTCCTCTGACAGAAATGAGGCCGTGGTGACAGAGGGGGGATGCCCTTCCCCGGGGAGCTGAAGAATCGACTTTGGCTGGAGAGTGCTAGCCACTGGTCTCTGAAGACGCGCTACCTTTTGAGCACTCTTGGTCAGTACCACCTCCACACCCCCCAGAAACCCTCTCTGGTCATCTGGCACCTTGTGTATTTCCCGCACGAGCACAAACAAGCCAACACTTGCCTCGTTGCCGGTAGCCTCTCGGAAACCATGCTTTGGGTTCAGGGACCCAAGGAGATTGTCCTGCCGTTTGAACCCTCTCTTCAATGGGCTTAATGACCTCTTGGCCAACATCTCTCTGTCTTCTGAAGTCGCAGAAGGCAGCATCAGGGACCGCAGAGAGTTTCCCAGGGCAGAGTGGTTTGAGAAAGAGCCACGCGCCGGTGTTAAGTCACTCAGGCTGGTGGGCAACTGCTGCTCTGCGCTGGCCAGCAGAGCTGGGTCGCAGTTGAAGTGGGTGGTGGCGTACAGATCTGTGGAGGAAACAAACCGGAAGATCAACCCGCCCTTTTGCTCCTTTCCATCCTGACTCATTCATCAACTCCCTGTGTCCTTTCTCTCTCCCTCTGCCAGCCCGACGCTCCACCTCTGGTTCAATCCACCGTCTGTCTACCTACTCCCAACCTACCCCAGAGTCGTGAGAGGTGGCGGCCGGTGGACAGGCAGACTCGACGGCACCTAACAACACCCTGATGTACGAGCATTTACTCTAATCAATTTACTCTTCCGTTCTCTAAGATCTCACATGTCTATTCCGTGGTGTTACAGTTACGCCTTGGGCTGCTAACTCCAAGATCAGAAGTTCGAAACCACCAGCCCCTCAGATGGAGAAAGATGAGGCTTTCTACTTCTGAGTTATAGCCTCTGATACCCACAGGGGCTAGTTATGATGTCCATGGTGGGTCAGAATCAACTCATGGCAGAAAGCTCTGGTTTTATTTTCAAATTCCCCAGGACCTTCTCTACCTTCCTCGCTCTCTTTTGCCGACTTCTTTTATTTCACTGGGAAATGTTCACTGAAGCAACCAAAGAGAGTGCCTATGAGATCTTCCCAGGAGATCCATCCACTCCTGTGTGTTTGTCCCGGAGAGCTCTCTGCCTCCCTTCTTGTTACAATCAATAACTGGCTGAGTTTCTAAGGCCAGCCTCTCCACTGCTGAGCTACATCCCACCGTCTCTTGATTGCCCCCGGATTGTTTGTGTGATATGTGTCCTTGCTCTTCTCCATCATCCGTTTCCTACTAGCCCACTGTCTACAAGGCTCACCCCTCACTCCAGCCTTGGTTCCCTTTCTTGGCTCCCCTTTACTGCTTACAGAGGCTGGACTGGATGTCCGGACAGACTCTGTCTGCAGGACCTCTCCAGTTTTCTCTTGAACTCACTTCAAGAAAGATTGTATCCCCAAGCCTCCCCTGCAGCTTCTCACTAATGCCTTCTGCAGGACCAAGCACCATGATCATGGCTCCAACCCAAGCTCCTTTCTGCGTATTCCTTCTTTCTTGAAAAACATGCTTAATTTGCCCTCCGGGATGCCATTTTCCCTTGGCTTTTTCTTCTCCTGTCTTTCTGGCTGTTGCGTGGTGGATTGCCCAGCTGGCTTCTTGTCTGCCAGGCTTCACTTTGTCTTGTCGAAGGATGGCGACCAGAGCAGAGCGGTCCTCGGGTTTCTGTTCTCTCGAGAGCAGTGGTTCCCAACCTTCCTCATGCCGTGACCCTTTCAGACAGTTCCTCATGTGGTGGTGACCCCCAACCATCAAATTATTTTCGTTGCTACTTCATCACTGTCGTTTGCTACTGTGATGAATTGGGCGACCCCTGTGAAAGGGTTGTTTGACCCTCAAAGGGGTCGCGGCTCACAGGTTGAGAACCGCTGCTCTAGAGTCACCGCCTGTGTGAGAACCCATCCAGCCTCGTCATCCTAAGGCTAACCCTAGCCTTGCAATGGCCAGACTCCACTTCTCCTCTGGATTTCAGATTTAATCTGCCTAATGGCCAACTCTCGCATCTCTGGGAGGATGTGACAGTTATCTCAAATTCTCCTCCCACTCTCCAGTCTTTTCCATCTTGGGAAGTCATTCTTCTGTTCTTCCAGCTGTTCAGACTGGAAGGTTTGGTTGAACCCAGGGTGTTACCTCCAAATCGATTCAGAATCTCACCACTTCTACCCAGAATCTAACCTCTTCTTTTCTAAAAAAAATACTTTTATTGGGAATTCTTCCATCTCTTATCACAATCTATGTGTGTCAAGCACATTTGCATATAGGCCGTCATCATCATTTTCAAAGCATTCTTTTCCCACTTGAGCCTGATATCAGCTCCCCATTTCTTCCCCCTTCCTCCCCTGCCCACCCTTCCCCACGAACCTTTGATAAGTTATAGATGGTTTTTTCCAGATCTTACATCATCCCCCATTGACCCTCACCCACTTTCCATTATTCGTCCCCCTGGGAGGGGGTTCTAGATTGATCAGATTCTAACCTCTTGAAGTGTTTTCTTTTTATCTTTGGTTCCCACCACCTATTCACAACCAGGGAACCAGGATAATGTTTAAGGCAGCCCATGTCCACTCCCCTGCTCTAACCCTTCCAGTGGCTTCCCTTCTCACCTAGAATAAAAGTCTGGCCGCCTCTTGGGCTTCTTCCACACACTCCACTCCGCTCACCCCATGTCAGACCCACTGCCATTATTCTTTGACCATGCCCAGGGCGTTCCTGTCCCAGGGATTTGGAACTTACTATTCTCATGGTCTCCAAAATTCTCCTTCCAATGATGCACACATCTTCCACGAACTTCATTCATTCTTTCCTCTGACAGTGCCTCCTCAGAGAAACTTTCCCTGAGCATGCTTCCCTAAGCGATTACCTTCTCAGTTCCCACACTGTTACATCCTTGTTCTTACAATCACCTGACATATATTTACACGTTCACTTATTTTTCATCTTCTCTATCCTATGAGACTATAAACTCCATAAAAGCAGAGACTTTATGTACCTTGCTACTCTAGTCACAGAACAAGAGTCTATGACACAGTAGGCATTTGAGGAAAAACTTGAGGAATGAATTCACAAATAACCAAAAAATGGTCTCCATCACTGACACTCAACTCAACACCTCAACTCAACTCAACAACTCAACTTAACTCACTCAACTCAACTCAACTCAATTGACTACCATCAAGTCTCTGATGACTCATAGCGACCCCATGTGGAGTTTCTGAGACTGTCACTGTTGATGGGAGTAGAAAGCCCAGTCTTTCTCTCTCTAGGAGCTGCTGGTGGTGCTGAACTACTGACCATGCAGATCACAACCCAACAAGTAACCAGGGCTCCCTATAGCCACCCTATAGGACAAGGTAGAACCTCCCCCCATGTGGGTTTCCAAGATTGTAACTCTTCTACCGGAATAGAAAGTTTCAGAGAGACTGGTGGTTTCGAATTGCTAACCTTGCAGTTAGCAACCTAACACATAGTCAGTATGCCACCAGGGCTCCTCTTCCCTGAAACTAACCTCTTCTAAAAGTAACTAAGATGAGAAGCCCCAGAATGCTACTTAAACGAAAATAACAGGTAGTCATGAAGGTGCATTTCTACAAACATTCTCTATTGTTAAGACTTCTCCCCTGGAGGCTCCGCTGCTTCCTCTGAAGTGCAATTTAGGAAGTGCTAAAGTCATTTCAAAATTACTGATTGGAAACTTTCCAGTTAGACCTTCTCTCTTCACACCTGCAAAAAGGATCTGTAAATGCATGGGAAGCTGTTACCTGAACTGAGTTTCAAGAGTCTTCCGGTGCTGGAGTCAGGATTGGAGAGAGAAGCTAGCAAGTCGCCACAGGAATGGGATGTGCTGGCCTTCGTGTCGTTCGAAGGCTTTATGTTATATTCTCGGTAGCTCTTGCTTCTCTGGGGCCTTTTACCAAGACTTTCATGCAGGGAGAGAGTTTGAAGATAATGACTATCATAATGTTCCAAACCAACATCTGAAGGTAATGGATAGGGATGGAGCTGGCCAGAATCCCCCACATCCAGGCGTTTACCCAATGAAGCATCGCTGACAAGCTGATATGTGTCGGGCTTTTGTTTCAAGTCCTTTTCTGGAGAAGAACCTGATGACTTGCTCAAAAAAGATACTCTGTAACCTTCTCTCACCGTCTTCTCTGGGGATCGAACTCTGGACTGATGAGACGAATAGTGTCTGAATTCTAACCATCAAAAGGGAAACAAAACCATGATGAGAATTTCTTCCTGGCCCACTTAAGAGTATCTCTGTTTACTGCACATACTCTCTGTTTACTGCAAAAGCTCTTGCTGGTGGGGGTATGGGGCTGATTTAAATTTCACCAATGGAAACACAAAGCAATAAAAGGACATCAGTGCAGGACAACAAACACCGTATGGAACGTTTGTATAAATAGTAAAGATCTGTAACGTTCTGAAGATGAATTACCTATCAATGGAAGCCTGTGGGAGCTCCCTCCTAAAATTATAACATCCGTTTCCTAGACACTGTTTTTTTGTTTTTTGTTTAAATCAATTTATTGGGGCTCATAAAATTCATCACAATACATAGATCAATTGTGTAGAGCACATCTATACATTTGTTGCCCTCATCATTCCCAAAATTCGGTTGCCTCTTGGGTTCCCGGAATCAGCTCATTTTCCTTCCCCCCTTCCC